CTCCGCGCCTGCATATGCAAATTAACCGCCATCTTTGTTGGGTTAATTTGCATACTCATCCAATTGGCTGGTGGGTGTAGTGGAGTGACACCAATTTGCATGTTTCTCTTTTATTAGTGTAGATAACATTTCCAAAATATCTGTGTTCTTGTTTTTCTGTATCTTTGACATCATTTTTTTTCTTTTAAAAAAATCACTATTTTAAAAATGGATCATAAGCATAAAATATTTCCTTCTATGACAGTATCTCTGGAATAAATGCAACAATATGACCTTAAAATGTGCCTTCATTCACTTAAGCATTTGTTCCAAATGTATTCGTTAAATACCTATGAACCTGAGACCATTTGTATTACTATACAGCAGTGATGGCGAACCTTTTGAGCTCGGCGTGTCAGCATTTTAAAAAACCCTAACTTAACTCTGGTGCCGTGTCACATATAGAAATTTTTTGATATTTGCAACCATAGTAAAACAAAGACTTATATTTTTGATATTTATTTTATATATTTAAATGCCATTTAACAAAGAAAAATCAACCAAAAAAATGAGTTCGCGTGTCACCTCTGACACGCGTGTCATAGGTTCGCCATCACTGGAATAGATGGTACTAATACTATAACAAGCTGTTGGATATTATTGTGGATTCAAAAGAACATAAGGTCCTCTTTTATAAAGAAACAACTAGAATGTGATAGAAAAGAAAAGAAAAGAAAAGAAAAGAAAAGGGGAACTAACGCTAGTATAAGGAAAAGCACTCGTTGTTTTACAGGAAGTAGTACCACTCTATTTTATATACAATTTAAATAACTTTCCAAAATCATATTCTATTACATAAATGGCAAAGAAAAGATTCATTAAAGTCAGAAATAACAGCATCAAATATCGGTGTAACATGGACAGTCTCTAAGAAGTTAAAACAGCATGGTAACTTAACCATTTAAAAAAATAAATACGTATAATCTATCAGTCGAATAAGCTCTATATTGTAAGTCTGAACTTTAACTTAAAATGTCTGTTGGGCATTTAATAATAATAATGATAATAATCTGTTCTGTAGAGAATGATATTAACCTATGGAAATTGTAAGAAGAAAGACACATTAGGACTAATGAGTATGGACATCAGCTCCTGATTTAGGGAGTGTGGTACTACATGCCTATGGTTTAATCAAAGTTGCTGAAAAATTCTCAAATGATTTTCATGAAACAAAAACTTCTTTACAATAAGGAAATGAAGAACATTAGAATGTAAGCTCCATTAAGACAGGATTATTTGTGTTTTGTTCACTGCTACAGTCCCAATGCCCCCAACATTATAGTAGGCACACAATAAATATTTGCTGCACGAATTGGAGATGTCAAAGGTTAAAGTAAGACAAAAGGCCAAAAACATTAATTAATAAAGAATGCCCCTCCTTAAGACAGAATCTACAGGGAAGTGTACTTAGAATCTTCTGTTCCAAATTGGCCTATGGTAGTAATCTATAACATATAAATATCTACAGTAACTCTAAGAAATAACTCTAAGACTTAAGAATGACTATATTAGATACAATTTATCTAGTAAATTTTAAATAAGTAGCTAGTAAATAAATAGGTAAAAATGAAAAGAAAATAACAGCAAAAAGACATCATCCTGCCTTGTACATCCAGATTGTACCACTGTTTTTTCATAGGTGCATCTCACTGGTTTACTTTACTTTTTTAAATCCTGGTAAAATATACCTAGCATAAAATTTTCCCTATTAACCATTTTTAAGCGTATAGTTCAGCAGCATCAAATACATTCACACTGCTGTGCAACCATGAACACTGTCCATTCTCCAGAATGTTTCATCATCTCAAACTCAAATTCCATACCTATTAAACAATAATGTCCCCATTGTTCCCTTCCCCCTGGCCCTAGGTCAGCCGTGGGCAAACTACGGCCCGCGGGCTGGATCC